TTAAGAATTACATGGCCCAAATATTAGTTTAACCAAACGAGACGAAGACCAACGGCGAAACATACATTATCATACTTATAGCTCGTATCCATTTTAATAAGAAATCAATTTGATTGATCGTACGTCAACTGTCCTATCTCAGTTACGCCACTGTGTTACTTACAAAGTAATTTCAAGCTCTATAAAGTTTCGCGTGTGTTCAAAATACGAGAAAAACACACGCCTGTCATCGCGTAGCTATTGATATTCATGGAATATCTGAAGTGAGGTTTTACAAAGAGTCTAGCAAATTGAAGCAGATTGCCGAATAAGATATACCCCAATACCCGCTAACTCTCTTATACGATGTTACGCACGAAAATAAGCCGTCAGGTAGATATTCTAATACTGCTATCAACTCTATACGATGGTTTTATCCGGTGTATTAGATGATGCTGGTATTGTTTTAATCGTAGGGATCTTTCCTTTCGCAATTTTCAGGTAATTTCAGGCTTCGTTTGTGCTTGAAAGGGGCGTTTGCTCATAAAATTGATTTACAGATCTTACCCCGGAGGATTATTACACTATTATTCATTGGATAATGTAAATCGAGATTTTTTTGTAAAGCTGAGTATAGCATAGATGCACAGAGATAAAATTATCATTTTATATTATTTATGGATGATATTAAAGATGGAAAATAGTATATAGGATTGTCTGAAGTCTGATAAAAAAGTATGATCAAGTAATTCTTCTTTAGTAAAATTGCATCATACCTATTCTTACTTTTTAAATCACACAAATACAGCGTGTCAACCTAATATACCTACCGGTTGCTGTAACAATTAAAATTATATATTTACGTTGGTACTGCAACGTTCTTAGATCCTTTTAGTCTTAACAGTTGATAACACTGTAAGTCTTGACAGTTTGTATTAGTATCGAAGTATCGATCTGTTGTCGTTAATCGTTAGAAGTTCACTGTTCATAATTATTATTGTAATTTCAAATAGTTAATCGAAGAGTTAATCATTATAATGTTTACTTTTTCACTCAGTGTTTTTTTACTACCACCAGCTTCCATCACAGGTTATGGGCCCAGCACCCCAGTAGGTCTTATGTGGCAGTAATCTGAAGTGATTTTATTCTTTTGTGTCTTGCCAATTTGCGCGCCAAAGTCAATTATAGTGAAAAAGTAACATGGACACCATCGTAAGCAAATTCAACAATTTCAACTGGACTCTTTGGTATTTTCAAGTTGAAGTGGTGTTGTTGGCGAAGGGATTATTTGAAAATAACTGTGGAAATGAGTGTATGCCTATAGGCGACGATGTCAAAATTGCTAAATGGAAAATTAATGATGCCCGTGCTCAAGAAGTACTTGTCGTTAGAATGGAAGACAAAATAATTTCACATGTAATGCAGAGTTAATCAGCGAAACAAATGTGGAGTAAACTAGAAAGCATTTTTGAGGGAAAATCTGATGTTAGTACGCATCTCTTGAATGAACAATTTATAATTTGAAGTTCAAAAATGAAACGATGACTAGTTTCATTTCAAAAATGACAAAACTCAAGCAGTTAGGTGAAGACATTCCTGGAAAAATGGTTCTGACGAAAATCATCATGGCGCTTCCTGATAAGTTCAGGCATTTTTGTTCAGCTTGGCACAGTGTTGGCTCAGATAAGCAAACTTTAAACAATTTGACAGCTCATCTTGTGATAGAAGAATAAAGATTAGAAAAAGAAGAAGAAGAAGAAGAAGAATGTCGGTCACCTGAAGAGCCAGTGCCGAAATATTGAGTGTAGTTATTTTAGAAGAAAAGGCAATTTAATTAGGGGTAAGATGGGAAATGATGTGGGGCAAGATGGTATCTATTCACATAGGGAACAAATATGGGTCACTTCATCAACCTCATCCTCTTCATCCGCACAGGAACAATGGGCCCATCTGTGACATCTGATACAAAGGATCCACCCTTCGGTCGATTCAGAGTAAAGATGGCCACAGTACAAACACTCTGCATCAGAAGATTCAGAGGATGATACTGATGATGTTGATGGCCTTTTTTTGATCCCAGTCTTTTTTGGTTTAAAATTTCCTTTAGAACCAATTGTTTTTTTTTGTATTTTCTTGCCCTTCGCATTATTTTTGTTTTCTAATGTTCTCTTAACATTTTCTTTCTTCTGTAGCTCTTTATTTTGTCTCTCAGCAATTTCTTTTCTAGTTCCTGTTTATACGGCGATTCCGTTAAAACAGCGGTCTTGCCTTTTTTTCGGGTAACCCTAGGAGTCGTTTGCTTGCAGGAAGGAACCAGCATAATATCTTCCGGTGTGCATGGTAAATGCGAAAGATTAGTTTGTTTTGGAGTTATAAATTCGAAGGAAGTAGCAGGCTTAGTTAAATCTTGAAAGTCTATTTTAAAAGTGGAATTAGACGAACAGGAAGCCTGGATACTTGGGGCATCAGAACTAACCATTGGTTGATCTGTAGGTGTAGAAGGGCGCGGAGGAATAACCGGATTCGAAAAATTCGTGGAAAGTTCAGACGTATTCATTTGACTATCAGGTATGGAGTTATTAGAAAGAACAATTTCTGTGGTCTGTGATGGAGCGAAATCTGCTTCTCCAAAAACATTTCTATTAAGTGGCCATACTCCAGTCTGACGAAATCCATTAATTGCCGTAAGCATTGTAGCTGCTCGCAAGAAAGCATTTCCGAACAAGCTTGCAATTTGATACTGCGAAACAACCCGTCCTGGGTTTGTTCTCAGCCACTGAGATTTTTCTGTATCATAGAAAACACTCACAGGCCGCATAATTGAAACGTCCAGTGGCTGCAAACGATGTGAACAATGTGGAGGGAAACATAATAAAATGACACCATTTTCTCGTGCGTAGTTGATCAACTCTATATTTTTTGTACTATGAGTGGAGTGGCAATCTAGTAGCAGAAGTACAGGTGACGTTTTTGAAGCTTTGCTAAATTGAGCGAACTTTTTAAACCATGCAAAAAATATCTCTTTTTGCATCCATCCACTTGGGTGAGTCTCAGCCCATGCACCAGGAGAACAGCCATTCAATAACTCTGGATTCATTTTAGAACGTGGGAAAATAAACATTGGTGGCATGTAGGTACCTGCAGCATTAAAACATATCTCAATTGTGATAGTTTTACCCCTCTCAGCAGAAGTCATTGCTCCAACTTGCTTTCTTCCTTTTAACGAAATAATTTTTGACTTAGTTTTGGGAACAACTGATACGCCAGTTTCATCGCAGTTGTATATTCTTTCTGGAGTTAATTTATATTTATCTACTAATCGAGTTAGAAGATCAAAAAAATTGTTAACAACTGTAGGATTAAATCCTGCTGCTCTTGCAGCACTGGTAGCCTCAGGTTTTCTTAGAGATATCCTAGGATTGCGACGCATAAAACCTGAGAGCCAATCTTTCCCTGCAGTTGGTTTTTCAGTTGCGAATACATGGGCTTTATTGAGCCTTTCAGCCCACTGGAAAGCTAATACTCGTAGGTCGTAAGGAGTAAGGCCAAAAAATCTCTCCTCCATTTTTAAGAGAAATTTTACTAGCAAATTTTCCTCTTCTGAACTAAAAATTGGCTTTTTTGGACCTAAACTGGGTTTAAGTTACTCAGTTCCAATATCTGGATTTTCTCTAGCTATTTTAACTTTTCTCTCCAAAGTTGATTGAGGCACACCGTACGATTCAGATGCCCTTTTATATCCCATTTCCTCATTCAACACAGCTGTAACGGCATGTTCCATCCCTTCAACAGACCAATTTCCACAGTCAGACTTTCGTTTATACTTTCTCACCATGATCTTAAAAAGAAAATAATTATAAATATAATTTTACTCTGGCAATTTAAACAACAAAGGTGACTTTCTATATACCAAGTAGTACTCCTTTTTGCCCCTCAAAAATAAAACCATCTTGCCCCTTCGCGCCATTTTGCAAAAATTTCTAATTACTGCGATTCTGGTTTATAAAAAATAAAAACTAATTATACGTAACTAACTGCAAATACATCCCACATACACCAGTAAATATTTAAAAAATGTAAAAATAATGTCTACTTACTTATCACAGTTTAAACTTGATCACTATAAAAATGTAACGTATGAAATCACAGATTATTTGGAGATAACTTTACACAACTGCTTCGTCGCAATTCCACGGCATACTAAACTTTCAACCCGTGGTTACAGACCTTGACAGCGCATTTTGTTGTTGTTTTCCGTTCGATCGACTGCCCCCACTCGCTACAATTAGTGGTACCCCATCTTACCTCACTACCCCCGTCTTGCCCCGCTCTCCCCTATTTAAAAATAATAGCATAATATTATTGTAATTTCAAATAGTATATCATTATAATCTTTACTTTTTCACTCAGTGTTTTATTATTAGAACCAGCTTCCACTACACTACCTACAAATATCAATCTCATAAACATAGCATAAATTTTTTTAAAAGCCACACCAAAAACCAAATGCATGTGATTTAACAACCAGCTATCATCTATTCCAGTTTGCTCGTTTCTCCATCTAAAACTCGCCGGCATAAAATGATGAAATATTCTCGATTCCCTTTTTTGTGTCCGCCTCTAAAATATCCCAAAAAATAAAACTCATATCGGAACAACTTTATTATCACAAAAACAAATCCTCGGATTGCCACACACAGACCCACTTTTAACCAACCCGATAAAATTGATCAGGTAATATTTTATCTGATACATAGGCAACCATCCGATCGATAGGATTCGTTCATAGTGACATAACTCATCACGGTTAACTCACAACTGACTGTTGAATTAAGAGAGGTATTTTTAAAAGTAATGGATGTAGTTTTTATGAATATAAAGAATCAGGAATACTTAGAAAAATATAAATATAAATCGATAATGTACACTGAGAAAAACGCTTCAGTAAGAAAGTGTTACTACTAAAAAGTTTACTGTGGTTGTAAAACTTTTTACTTCAAAAGTATTTAAATGTGTTTTGAATGGTCAAATCAGAACGTTTCGCAATTCGCTTTTGTAAAAGTAGCTCAACAAAAAAGTTTTTATTTTTAGATGAGGGCATTGATGATAATGCCTTTCAGTTACTAGATGAAGAAAGCATAAGGCATCTTATTCCAAAAATGGGTCCACGCTTAAATTTTATGAAAAAATTCGAGGAATTTTGTATGACCAAAGAAAATACCATGGTAAAATTGATATTGTTTTATTATCAAAATTTGACATTTATATCTCGAATTGTTTTCGAATAAACTTCCGTTCCCGGAGCTTTGGATTAAAAATAAACCGATTACACCCTGTAAATGTTTCTTGTTGTATCTTAAAAACAAATGAATTTTTTATTTTAAATTGAATCGCTCCATGTTGAAGGGGCGTAAGTCTAATGCTACTTTTACGAAGAATACGCCCGTTTAGAATAGAACGATAGGAGCGCAAATCAAATGCTATTTTTATGGAAATACGCCCGTTTAGCATGGAAAGATTCAATTGTATTCAAAATAAACAGTTTCTCTTCATTTTTTTATTATTATGTCAATCATTTTATGAAAAATTTTATTAGCAGTTTCCCATATTTTTTTTATATTTTTCATTTACCATTTCTTTAAAGTAATTATTTTTGTAATTTTAATCAGTTTTTCAACCCGTTTTTTAAATGACATATATTCATTTTTTATATTAGTATTTTGAAGATATTTTAAGTGTTGTTTATATAATTCTCGTTTATTACGTATAGATTTAATTAAACCTTGTGTCTTTTTTATATTGTTTCCTAATTTCTATTATTTCCGTGGATTTCAACAACGAGTGTTTTATTTTCTCTACAAATGCATTTGTCATTTGATTTTCTTCTTCACCATTATAAATATGTTCCCATGTTTCTGTTTTTAAAAGATCTTTTAATTTTTTTCATCCAATTTATATATTTTTATGTTTTTAGATTTGTTCAGACTTTAAGGAGGTTTAATATTGATTATTAATATAGTCGGAAAATGGTCTGTAATGTCAACCCTAACAGTGAAACCTTGAAACATATATTTATATTATTGAGAATAAATTATATTATTATTATTAAAAAAATTACAATTATGAGTATTTCTTCACATGTTGGAATACATTAAATAAATGGAATTCAAAGCTGCTGTGAAGCGTAACTCGAATTCCAGCCACCTTTTGTCATTTCTAAGCTCAAACATAAATTATTGTTAGTTTTCACAATAGAACGTGATCGATTGCAACTATATATCTGTTTCAATTTCAAACTGGGAAAAATTCCAAGATGAATTGGTCTACTTCTTTAAATTTGACTGACTTAATACACCAGATATCGTCCAAAAAGAAAGTTCGAGTGTGTGGAAATAAAACCGTAAAGCAAAATCGCGGGCCAAAAGTTGCGATAAATAGAAAAGGCTATGACCCAGTTTTTCGAATCGGTTTAACTCGCAACAAAGAGTCAATCGCATTCGAGCGTAAGTAATGGAATTGTTCCATTTCCATTTTTTTGGGTAGAAATGTCAAATAACAAGGATAAATGGTAACGACACTATAGTTTTATTGGTGTGGTGCGAACGGTCTTAATCTTTTTTTCCTCAAGGAAATCCGTTCAAGCGAGGTTGCTCTTTTGTTTTTTCGTAAAATAAATGTATAAATGTTGGCCTCCAATAGTATTAGTTTCTTTTATTTCTCGATTTTCCATGTTTCCGCTCCTTTCCTTAAATCTTTTATACAATATACAATTAATACTAATGAGAAAAGAACTTTGTATATCCATCGTAAAAATATGTATATTTTATATTTGGTTTGAATAATTTTAATTTGACTTTGATGTATGGTTTTCACAACGTAAAAGTATTTTTAAGGAAGATGACTTCGCTGCTGCATCTGTAACAGATTCAAGGGCTCTAGAAGAAACAGATGCACCATCAACATCTGTGCTGGTCACATGCACTTCATCAAATGCACTATCAACATCTGCGCTGGTCATTAGAACTCCATCAACTTCATTACAGCCTGAAGTCATTTCGCCAGACATAATACAACCCTACTCCAAAATAGAGAAAAAGAAATCACGATTTCTAACAAAGACGCCAGAGAAAGATAGACTAGGAGAAGAAAAGATAAGCCAAGCAAAAGAAGAAGCAAGTGAAACAGAATCTGTTTGATAATGTAAAGCAACAAACAAATGATTCGGATGATTTCGGGTATGAAGTAATCTACGCTGATGATAAATCTGACTGTTTAAGTGAACGTAGAACATACCATAGATCCTGAATCTGGGACGCCAAATATCGAAATCGGTGACTTTTTGCTGGTGAAGTATTGTATGAAGAAGACCTAAATGTATTATGTTGGAGAAGTGAAAGAAATAGTCGAAAGAAAATATTTAACAAATTTTCTAAGAAAGAAAAAAAAATAGATTTACCTTTCCCCAAGTCACTAATAAGGACCTAATAGAATTGGAACAAGTGGAACTAAAACTACCTAAGCCAAGAACGTTTGAAACAACTGCAAGTGGTTTCAAGTATAACGTCAACTAAACTAAAAATTTTGTGTTTAACTATGCCTTTTTTACATTATTTACTGTTTATGCGACTTGTGTTAAATTGTTCCAGCTTTATTCACCAAATAAATATGACCAAAACTTTTAGAATTTAACAAATTGTCTTTTTCCACACCTGCCCCTACACTGTCCAAATCTACCCCAGCTAAGGGGAACAATTTGAATACTTTGGAAAATTGCAAAAATCTAATTCATCGATCAGAGACTAATCGCTAAACCTACGGTGATAGATATAGTACATTTATCAGTGGCAACAACATTATGTGATCAATATAATAATAATATAATATAAAAACTTTATTTATGAATGGAGTACAATAAAATAAAGAAAAAAGAAAATACGTTTATATAAAATATAAATAAAATTAGAGTATCGGTAAGTACTGATGTACTTGTTTCGATAATAGAAAATATAATTAAAATTTAGATTTAAAAATATTAGTAATTAATAAAAATAAAACATAATACTAATAATAGCTAAAATTAGATTTACAATTTATTACATTATTAACTTGAATAAGTATACAATAAAGATTAAAATATAATACATATTTAGTAAAAGAGTGCTAAAAATGGATTTAATTAAAATTATTTATATAGTTCATCTATTAAGGCATTAAAAAGGGATCTTGGAGTCTTTTGTAAAAATGTTCTTAAGTGTTTTTTGAATGTACTTGTGTTTTGTGTCATTTTGGTAGTTTTAGAAATAGTATTGTACATTTTAGTGGCAATGTATGAATAGGCTTTTTGTGAGAATGATTTCTTTACCAATGGGTCTGTAAGTAATTCTCGATGCCTAGTGTAATACTGATGATCTGGATGAGGTGCTTGATCATCACTAGAATGGTATTTAATGCATGTATTGTAATAGAACAGTTGTCTTAAATTCATTATATCCGATATTTTATACAATTCATCAGTCGGAAACCTAGAGGGTTTTGACATGATTATTTTTTTAATTCGTTTTTTGGATAGTTTCAAGGGTATTTATATAGGTACGTGCAGCTACGCCCCATATAGGTATTCCATACCTAAGATGGCTTTCAACAAGAGCGACATAAAGTTGTTTTAGATATTGAATAGGTAAGAACTCTTTCAGATGTTTAAAAGTGTAAATAATTTGCTGCATTTTTTAATACCGGATTAATATGTTTATCCCACCTTAAGTGACAATCCAAATATATCTCCAAATATTTCATTTCGACAACCGATTTAATGTCAAATTTTTTCCATTAATTTCAATGTTAATTTGTTGAAAATCTGTTACTCCGCTGACGTTACAACTAAAAGGTAAACATTTATTCTTATTTAAATTCATTGTTAAGAGCTTATGGTCGAACCATATTTTTACTGCCTTAATGTCGGTGTCTACTTTTGCTTTAAGTTGTTGCCAAATATCTGCTTCATAAAAAATGGCAGTATCATCTGCGTATCCTATTATTTCACCAGTTGTATCTAAGTGAAACAGCTCATTCACATACAGATTGAACAAAATAGGCCCTAGGACTGTGCCCTGTGGTACACTATATTCAATAGATACCTCTTCACTTATGTTATTCCCTACTCTTACCACTTGGTTTCTTGTACATATATGCGTATATTAGAAAGCCAAGCTATACATAGCTAATTATATTTGTAGTGTCCCAATGTCCCCCCTCTCCCCTACAAAATAGAATTATTGAATACAATTTAGCTTCTTTAATCTCGCCAATAATGTGGGATATTATATTTTTTCTGAAAAGAAAAAATATTAAATTTTGAATATCTTTTCCAAGGTAGTGGACTTTAACTTCTTCTTTTTGAGCAAAAATATCCTACCTAGAAGTATACAACATTCCCGCCACCAAGATTATTTAGACACAACATCAATAAACGCATCAGAACTGCAGGCTGAGGCTATTCGATTATAGTTTAAAAACAATCTATTTTCCTAGATTTAATCTTTAAGGAAAATTGTAATTGCCACGTGAAATGGCAGCAGGGCGATTAATTAAAATTTTCAAGTCAATAGCCAAAATTAATTGAGATCCGTCTATCGACGTTACGATAACTTCGAGATGATTTAGTAACTTCGTTGGCAATCAATCATGTTTTGCAGGAGCGGATTAAGTGACAAGATTGGCGTATGCCGGTGCAACAGACAGTTTTCTTAATGAAAAAATGGGATAAATTTTCGATCAGTAGTAGTAATTGTATTTTAAAATAAGCGACTGAAAGTCTTTTTCCAGTGTAATCAGAAGTATCCAATAAAATGAATATATTTTAGCTCCAAGACATCTAGTTAATTCTCAAAATTTAAAATTTTTCATAAATTCAGTTTTACAAATATCGATTGATGCAATTCATGGTGATCTACCCTGTATATTTTACTGTATTCATTCACAATAATTTTGTTTGTAATACTATGTTACATTTTATATTTCAAATACTAGTAGTTTAATTGTTATTTTTATTATTTCATGTTTACAACGTTAATTTTAAATAATGAAATAATTTTCATCTATAAAACTTTTTTCTGACCCTTTTTTAATTTTTATTAAATCCGCCTATATTTAATAACAATAGCCGACATATTATCCTGGAGATGATGAAACAAAACATTCGCTGAAGTACATGCTGCGTATCCAGTGTTTATATGATTGAAGTTTTTTATATGCCTGGATTAAAAAGCATATTCAACTTTTATATGGTTAAAGTTTAAATTAAAAAAGGTACAATTGGAAAATTGGTTGCAAAGTCTATGTCAAATAGTTTTGATTAGAGTCAAGTAATAAATCAATCAATTTAATAAATCATTACAAAAGTAAAAAAAAGATAAAGCAACAAACAAAATTGTCAAAACAAAATGTATAATGGTAAAAAATATAATAAGGAATTGCTAGCTATTAAATTGTTTTTTATTTGTTTATTATTTTATTTTTACTTATAAAACGATTAAACCGAATTTCTCGAAAATAATATATTTTCCAAATGAGAGTACGCAATAATAGCATTTATTCGATGGAATCCGTATAGGGTTGCCAGATTTACGTCAAAAGCGTGACAACCGTGACGACAGAGCATCAGGTTCAAATATTTTGATATAATCAGGTCCATTACTTGTGAAATTTCTAAAAAATTGACTGTATCTACAGGGTGTTTATTAAGTACTTGTATAAACTTTAAATAGTGAATCTTTGGCTAATTTTAAGGTAAAGAGTTCATATGAACACGTGTCCTAAACCTCTTATCTTTTGTGCTATAGGGTGGTAAAGTTTTCAGAAAAAAATCTATTTTTTCCAACAACTGTGAGACTATTATAGATATCTTTACGAAATTTGGTACACGTATACTATGCATTAAGATGCATGTTTTGATGTACAAATTTATGTTTTCTACCAGTGGCGTCCATATCTACGGGGTTTGTATTGAATATTTTTGCAGAAAAAAATAGTATGCCACTGCTTCATCTTAAAACAAAAATTATTTTTGAAATCCTCATTTATTTTTAAACAAATTTAATCTCTTGAGTTTTTTCGTTCGATGCATAGTTTACGCTTTAAAAAATAAAATCCGTTTTATTTCAGAGTCAAATTGCTAAAATGTACAATTGTACATAAATGCATAGCAAGCCTTGTAAACAACCGAGAGGTTTCCATGGTAACGGAATCAGTCATGACAGTTTATTTAAAAAAAGATCATGGTTTTGTCATTTTAATATGTATGTATATGTATGTAATAATTTATTGTCTATTATTGTGTTCAAAATGTACGAATATACCAATGCAGAAATGGCAGACATTCATTTCGTCAACGGGTGGTTCCTACATGTCCAAACTTTCATTAATATTCACGCAAGACTTTGTGAAACTGGCAGCTTTAAAAGAACAATGTTTTGTTAAATAATTAAACATTGACTTTCCTTGTGAGATATAAAGGACTTTTTCTTCCCCTTCACCTTAAAAGAACAATTGATATCCCAGGAAGGCCTGCGACAGTTCGAACAGTTGAAATTGAAGAAGCTGTGTTGAATAGAATTTAAGAAGACCCGCAAACTAGTACAAGGAAAATTGCTCATGAATTGAATATTACGCATACAATTGTGTGGCAAATTTTAAAATCTCAACAACTTTATCCCAATCATATTCAACGTGTACAGGCATTACTACCTAGAGATTTTCCTCTCAGAGTAGATTTCTGCGTTTGGCTGCGAAATAAATTATTAACAACCTCGGATTTCTTAGGCCATGTACTTGTTACAGACAAAGCTTCTTTTTCTCGAAGCGCCATCATGAACTTCCACAACAACCATATCTGGTCTGAGGATAATCCCAATGCTATCATAGAAAATAATTTCCAAGATCGTTTTTCTCTAAATATTTGGGTCGGAATTATCGGGGATCACCTTATTGGACCTTGCATTCTTCCATAAAGGCTAAATGGCGAAGAGTACAGAAGATTTTTGGAGCACGAGCTTCCTGAACATTTAGAAGAAATTGATTTGGCTGGAAACAGGATGTGGTTCATGCACGATTGCGCACCGGCACACTTTTGTTTGGCTGCATGTCAATTTCTGAACGAGAATTATCCTAACCGTTGGATAGGAAGAGCGGGACCGCAAGC